TTCTTGTGGGAAAACAATTGAGGTAGCTTTAATAAAAAAGGTTAAACATTTCAATTTTTTTTTAATTCTTTGTGATGAAGCAGTTGACTGTTCAAATACTGAACAAATGTCACTTTTTTTTAAGATACGTAAATTCAAATAATGAGATTTGCGAGGATTTCCTAACATTTATTGATTGCAAGACATCTGGTCTTAGTCTACCTCTAAATCTACTTTCTATCTCTAAATTACTAAAATAACTTACTAAAATTACTCAATACACTTCAAGAGATTTTATGGACTTAATATTTAAAATTGTAGAGGCCATAATATATATATATATATATATATATATATATATATATATATATATATATATATATATATATATATATATATATATATATATATATATATATATATATATATATATATATATATATATATATATATATATATATATATATATATATATATATATATATATATATATATAAATATATATATATATATATATATATATATATATATATATATACATATATAAATATATATATATATATATATATATATATATATATATATATATATATTATATATATATATATATATATATATATTTATATATATATATATATATATATATATATATATATATATATATATATATATATATATATATATAAATATATAAATATATATATATATATATATATATATATATATATATATATATATATATATATATATATATATATATATATATATATATATATATATATATATATATATATATATATATATATATATATATATATATATATATATATATATATATATATATATATATATATATATATATATATATATATATATATATATATATATATATATAGAGAGAGAGAGAGAGAGAGAGAGAGAGAGAGAAAGAGAGAGAGAGAAAGATATTATATTAACTATATTATTTTTATATTAATTGATCTTCAATAAAAAAAATATAACAAAAATTAATAAATAAAAATAAAAAATCCTATTAAGAAAAGAAAAGAATCCAAAAATGGAGAGTTAATCTTAAATAAGATTACTAATACTTTACATAAACTATCAAGAAAAGGAGAGAATCTAGAAATGGAGGGCTAACCTTTATAACTATAGTATTAACTAACCTAATATTACTTTACATTAATAAATAACCTAATATTACTTTACATTACATGTTTATCAAGAAACGAATCCGAGAATGGAGGGCTAACCTTAACAAACATTACTTCTCATTACGTGCATCTCAAGAATAGGTAAGAATCTAGAAATGGAGAGCTAACCTTTGACAAAATGGTAGTACAAAAATGAAGTGCAAAGTCCTATGCTTATTTTCTCGTTGGTGCACTTTGTTAAGTAAATTAGACTTAAAATTACATGTCTAATTTATGAACGAAATAGCCAAGGCAACATTTGTGAAAGTTTCTATAAAAAATAGATACTACTGAAGCGATACAAAACAAATTTAGTTATTTAAAGACATAAAGAGCGGCGTCACTCCTATAAAAAAACTCGTCTGGGGCATGTCCGCCCCATCCCTTGATACTCCTTCCCAGTGGGCATTTCGACGTCGAACGAACGTCGAGCGACGTCGGATCTTGACGTCGGATCGACGTTGGGTTTACGTTGGAAATGGAAATGTTATTTGACGTCAGATAAACTGACATCGCGCGACGTCGGCATTCCGATGTAAATCCAACGTGTTTTTTGAAAACTAAAAAACGTTGCGTTTGGCAGGAATCGAACCTCGGTCTATTAGAAACTAAATTCTACGCGCTTACCACTACACCTCAGGGACATATCGTTTAATGTGTTTATTTAGTAATTTATACTTGTAGCTATTTGGGAATTATTACTTCGATAAGAAATAATTTTTTTTAAATATTATATAAATATTAAAACGAATAGTTATATATTATAAAAAATGTATACTCGAAAATGTTAATAGTTAAAAAACTATGCTAGTGCATCATACAAAACCTCATGATGTTTTATCAACCATTATTCAAACTTCTTTCCATTAATAAAAAACACGCTTAGTTCACATATTTATTGAAGAGCGCAATTGCACACATATTGTTGGGTTTGGATTAAATTTTCATCAGCGATGTCTTACGACGTTGTTCCGACGTCGTTTTAAGGACGTTGGATTGACGTCGGAAGACGTCAAAAGACATCGGAGTACGTTTATATTATGACGTTGCCCGACGTCTTTTTATCGACGTTGGATCGATGTCAGTACTGCGACGTTTTTTGGACGTTTTTTATAAGATGTCGGAACAACGTCAAAATACATCGAAACGACGTCAGGGGATGTTAAGATAAAGACATCGCCCGACGTCATTTTACTGACATTGGAACAACGTCGGAATAGGTCTTTTGACATCGCTGATGAAAAACGTACGTAAATCCGACGTCGGATTGACGTCGGGTGCCCACTGGGTTTTTGCTGCCCCTCCACTTTTGATATTGACTATACTTAAACCTTAGGGATGTTAGGGGGGGGGGGGTTATAAAAAAATGTCGCATCACCCTTTTAAAGTTCTAGATCCGCCCCTGATATATGGCAAATTGAAAAAAAATTATTTTTTACCTGTGTCGACCAAAAATCGTTTCGCTATTTAATAGTTAAAAAAAGAAACGTGCTTTATTTCATCGCATTAATCAAAAGCGAAACCAAGTGCCATACTTACATGATAGAAGTGGAAAATGTTAAGTTATCAAAATAATTTGAGCCGAGGATGTGGCTGTAATGATTTTTCAGATTTAATTATGCAATCAATTATAGATTATTAAATTTCTATGTTTAATATTAAAAACATCAAATATTAAAGTAAAATATCATATTATGCATCATTTGACGTTTTATATAAATCTAACTATGCACGGGGTTCATATAGATCATCTGTATGAACCTTGTGCGCACAGGGACTAATGCACGTGCATTGACTAATGCACGTGCAAAATAAACCATTTGTCAGATGTTTTATTTTGACTAAAATTATGTAAAATCTAAAATACTATTTCAAATATTCAAGAATTATTTTTTTATTATTAGAAATTGTGGGAATTTTAATTGTTAAATACGTTTTGAAACATAACTTAAAAAACTACTGAATCAGTACCCTTAGACCAAAAGGACCTTTGTCACTAAGGAAAAGTCCCTTTGCCACTAAAAGAAAAAGATACAAGCTGAGGCTTAGCTTGTATTCTTTAATGAATCCCTCAATAACAATAACAAAATAAAAACTTTGACATTTCAAATGAACTTAATCATCCAGTATTAGAATATTGGAATTCCTCACTTATGGGAGTAACCATTAACGATTTGCTAAACCATTTTAATGAAAGGATTTATTATTTCAATTTTTAGTAAGGTTCTTTAGGTGTTTATAGGTGGACTTGATATAAACTTACAGTTTTTCAGAGATGTTCAAAGCAAATTTAAAGAGCTTGAACCATTCAAACTTATTGCCAAAAGAAATGACTATCAGTATTATTAAAATTTTTGTGTCATTGCTTTCATTTTTTGCAAACATATAGTTGGAAGCAAAATGATGGTAAGTAAATTGAACAATATTTAGTTGTCTATATTAAAAATTATTAATCAGTGAAAGGATTATTTAAGGTAAACACTCTTCGACTATCATATAATAATACATCTTACAAGTATAAGTTTTTTTTTAAATGCTGCTTGATATAAAATTTTCAGATTCCATTTTTAAAGCTTCCTGGAAAGAATTTGTACAAGGACTTCACTGTTTCTGTAATTTATTAAGCAGGCGCACCAATTATACTTCAAATAAATTGCACTCTTTGGCATTTGATTAATAGTATTTTCTGGTAGTTCATTTAAAACTATAAAGGCTTATTCTAAGCTTATCATTATTGATCTATAAAATAAATTGAATCTCTTGAAGTTCATTGAAATTGATATTATCTATTATGCTGATTTATCAAGCTCAGAAAAGATACAGTTATTTTGAGATAATAAAAAACTTCTAATTAAATATTCTTGTATACTTTGAACATATTTTCTTATTTATTAATATATACTTTAAATATATTTTTTCATGTATTGTATGTATTTTCAAAATATATGTCCAACTCCATGTTAAAAAAATATATATTTCAAAATATAAGTCCAACTCTATGTAGTCGTCAACATGTAGACAACTACATAGAGTTGGACTAAATAGTCACATAATGTGTCAAAAACCTTTGTTATTCCGTGCAAATAAACAAAAACAGCTTTAGTGTGCAAGTGATCATAAATAAGGGCATTGGATCAATGAAAAACAGTCTTTTGAATGTCTGATGAATCAAAGTTTGAATTATTTGGAACTAGAAAATACCTATATGTTCGATGATTGAACATATTTAGTTATTCAGTGAAACATGGTGGTGGTAATATCACGGGGTGGTTTTAGGGGAGAAAAAGATTCAATTCAAGTCAAATCAACAATGGATAAAAAAGTGTACCATAGTATTTTAAATCATCATCCAGTGCCATTCGCGCTAAAGGTGGTCGTATTGATAAGAGTAAAATCTAAATTAAAGTTGTGTTTAATTGTTGTTTGCTAAAATTGCGCTCATTCAACTCAATTGTTTATAGAGTTTTAAAATGTTGTTTTAAAATGTATGAGTAATAAGCTGTTAAAATGAATGAGCGTAATTTGTTTTTATAGACGATTTACACACTTTCTACACGCTAAATAACAAAAAAAGGACTTTTACACGCTAAATAACAAAAAAAAAAAAAAAAACTAAAAAAAAAAGTAATTTTTAGATTTTGTTTATAGTTATTAAGAAGCATTCCTGAAAGCAACACTCATTTATTTTAATTTTAAAAATTGGTTAATATAAATAAAGTTTCTTTATAAATTTATGACAATAGTAGTTTAATCATATTTGTAAGATATTTACGGAAACAAATTTTCATACCCTGTTTTATACTTACTTGTGTTATAGTTTTTGTTTATTAAATTATTTAGTTTAATATAAAGTAGGTTTATAAGTACAATATTCATTTTAAAGATGAGCTTTAATAAATGGAAAAAAACAGTTGATGAAGGTGATACTATCATGATTTCTTTGGTAAGTTTCACAGTTGTTTTTTTTAATAAAAATTTTCATAATAAAAAGTTTTTATTATGAAAATACTTTACAAATATTTATAATAATCAAGTTAAGTAAATATACAGAATATATGGTTGTTGTGTTAATTGTAATTATTGATATTACCCACTTTTTGTGAGAAATATGACACAATATCATTATTATTTGTTAAATTCATTCTGCTAGCACAAGTCTTATTATTTTTTTATAAATTTTGAGGGTAAGCAATCAATAATGACAATACTTGTTGAATCATCTAAAACTTTGCAAACAAAATTTGGTGCTTTTCCACACAAGGAGTTTATTGGTCAAAAGTTTGGAACTAAGGTATCTCATTAGTTTTATACTTATATATATATATATATATATATATATATATATATATATATATATATATATATATATATATATATATATATATATATATACACATACTTATATACAGAGGCATCCTGAGGGGGAAGCATAGGGAGTGTCTAGCCCCCTAATGAAATTAACTAGTTGGCATATTGGACACTGGAGTCAGCAAAATAGATCTTTAGTTGACAGTCAGCATATTGTTCAGCCAACGAGGACTTTTTTTTTTCCTTTTTTTTTTTTTTTTTAGATCTTATTTGTTGAAAAATTTTTCTAGGCTTTAGTAGGCAAAAAAAAGATATGTCACCCCCTTTCCTTTTAAATCTCTTTGGGATGGCCCTGCATATATATACACATACTATAGCATCAAAAAATAACAATTTTTTAAAATGACCTTGCCTGAATTCTAAATGTGTTTTTTTATTATAAAATATATAATTAAATAAAATATTTAATTATATTAATATTCAGTTTTTTTCGTTATTTGAAGTAACAAGATGTGTTTTTGATCGCTAGTCACTATTTCGTTTTAAATTGATAAAATTGGCTATTATCATTAGATAACTAGAAATCGATTTTGCTCCTGTTTGTGATGATATTATTTTTTGTTTCGGGAGTATTTGTTCATTTAATTATTTTGTTGTATCGAAGACTCTTACTATTGCTTAAATTACTATTTGTTGGTTTTGCAAAAATCGAGTCTGCATTGAGCGGTTACAAGAAACTACAAATTACTTTCGTTCAAAAGAAGAAAAAAAATTGACAACCGGAAGATAATTATTGATAAAAATTTTGTATAAATAACTTATTAAAGAATCGAAAAAATTATAAAACAATAAAAAAAAAAATTTATATATTTGAACCTATCATACCGATAACCTTACCAAATAAGATTACGATATTCGTTCTTGCATTCAAATCACCGCTAGTATATTATTGTTGTTATTTATTTATTTATTTTTTTATTTTTTTCATATATAATCCTCTTAACAATGACCAGCACAAAACTTCTTGGTAAAAATGGAAAATTAATAACAGCAATTTTAGAAGAAGTTTTGTTAGAATTACAAGCCGAAGTTGCAAATTTGAAAGAGATTGTTAGGAAACAAAATGATGAAATAAATAATTTAAAAAAATCACAAAATTCTAGTCATAAAACATGGAGTAATGTTGTAACTGCTGGCATAAAAAGTAAGCTAATACCTCAGCAAATAAGTATAATTAATGCGATTTCTGTTGAAGATAAACTTAAAAAAAAAAAGGAGAAAAATATTATTTCTGGTGTTTCTGAATCAACTGGAGCTGATAAAGAAAAGGAAGCAGCAGATATAGAGAAAATCAAAAAAATCTTTACTGATATAAATATTGATACCAATGAAATTGTATATATAAAAAGATTTAAACCGAAACCAAATATCGTAAATGCTAAAGGAGCAATAACAAAGAATTCCAATACTTTCTGCAGTAAAAAAATTAAAAGGAAACATTAATTTTCCTAATGTATTTATTAATCTTGATATGACACCGGCACAAGCCAAGTTAAATTAAGACGGAGAACAAATATGGCGTGAACTCACATATGGAACTGAAAGAATCCTAATAGGGTGTATTTACAGACCGCCGAGTTGCAAGGAATACCAGTGGATCATTAACTCAATTGAAGAAATGCGAAAATTAAATGATTGTAGAAAAACTACTAGTACAATTATAACAGGTGATTTCAACTTTACCAATTTAGCCTGGGATCTAAATGGTATTTCGTCTTTGCTACAAGAAGTGAACAACTCGAATGTTTTGTAAGTGCTATCCAAAACACATTTATTTTTCAACACGTGTATCTACCAACCTTTCAAACAAGCGATTGTGAAACAAAAAATATACTCGATCTTATTTTCACGGAAGTATATGAGAGAGTCAGCGAGTTGAAAACTGGAGAACCTTTAGGTCATATCAATAAAGCACATCTAACGTTAACATTTAACTTAAATTTAACAAACAATAATACAACAAAAAGATACTCAACCAAAAAATTTGTCTACAAAAGATGCAATTATGAAGATCTTAATTCATTTTTCAAAAATTTTGATTGGAAAAATAAACTCAACAATGATTTAGATATTGAAACAAACTACAAAAACTTCGTTGAAATATACGACAATGGATGTGAACAGTTCATAAAAAAACAAAATTTAAATTTCATGCAAAAACAGTCATATTGGTTCAACAAACAACTAACAGAACTAACCAAAAATAAAACAAATCTCTGGTTCAAATTAAAAGTAAGTGGTTTCAAACATGATCTGAAACTTAAATACCTGGAAACAAAAAAAAAAATAGCAAAGGAGGTGAAATGAGCAGTATTTGAGTACGAAAAAAAGTATGCTGCAAACGCGAAATCAAACCCAAAATTGATTTATTCTTACATTAATAAAAAACGAAGCATCAAAGCATCATTTATGTCCAGAACACATTTAGAGCTCAGATAAGGCAATTCTTAAAAGTTGTTCTTTAATGCACCCTAATACACACAGTGCTTTTTTTTGTAAAAAAAAAAGATGCTGGGACTTACCTGTATGTCAAAAATGAAGCAGAAATTAGCAATGAAATTTGTAAATAAAATTATATAGGTATAGCCATGGCTTGGTTACCCCAAACATCCTCCCCTAATTAGAAGAGAAATGAGTTTATGAGCCATTTTCCAGCGGAGATTCCAGGGGAGAGAACATAGCACTCTATATAAAATACTAACTACACCTTTTCAAGATGTAATTGAGAACTTAAAAGTTGTAATTGAGAAAAGTAAGATGTAATTGAGAAGGTGAAAGTTGTAATTAAGAAGCGTTACATTTAATTGAGAAGATGAAAGTTGTAAATAAGAAATTGCAAAATGTAATTGAGAACCTGACAATTGTAATTAAGGAAAGTATAATATAGTGTAGTCAAATTACAAAGTTGTAATATACTTTGTAATTTAGCTGGAAATAATAATATAATATCAATAAAAAATAAAAAATCATGAAAAAGGTATTTAAGGTTTAGGCGGTAACTGGAAAAATCCTATTAAGTGTCAATTAAACTTTATTTTTGTTTGTGAAAAATTTAATTGAGATTTTAGATGAATTATGAATTATGTATGTGTACTTGATTATTAATGTATTCTCATTTACATATTACAAAACCTCTACAACAAATTCCAGTTTTTTTTGTTTTTTGTTAGACAAATCATCTTATCTTCTTTTCATGCTTTTTTTTTTTTTGTCTAGAGCTCTAATTAATCACAAATTTTCAGGATTTGTTTTTTCTACAAGATATTCATGGAATCCACTAATTCTTTTTCTTTCATTTAATTGTAGTCTTATTGACAAATTCCTTCTTTCAGTTTTTCTAAATGTCAGTTGAGTGTTATTGTTTTCTGGATATTATTTTTTGTGTAAGATGCTAGCCCATTGAGCTAATTCATCTTTGTCAGCAACATCTTTGTCAGCAACATCTTTGTCAGCAAGTAACCTTTTCTCAATTAGGTCTTTTAGTATTTAAATAAAAGTTTGTATCAATTCCCAGATTCTTAGCCATTAGCACTTATTAAACTTTCTCTCCAATTTTGAATATGTAAGTTATTTCTTTATAACAATCATGCACATCTTTATTGCTGTTAATTCCTCTCACTCTCATTTTGTATTGATATAATTTGTTTGCAGGTAAAAAAAAGAATTACAACTATTTTTTAGACTAACATTGTACCTATAAACTGATACCGCATGAAACACTTTTTGCTGTTCTTTTGACAGTTCGATGACATCGCTCTGCAATATCATTTCCTGATGGTACATAAACTTACCTGAAGCAAAGTTTAACATTCCATTTATTTATAATTTAAGAAAACCATGAGCTTCAGAATGCTGTATCATTGCCGATCAGAATTTTGTTCGAACCTCTTGGTTTGAGAAGTATCCAATTAAATTCTTGAAGAACACATATACTGGTTTGGTCTTTAAGATGGCGCCATATTTCATACTGTAGGTCCACAGTCAGTTAGGGTAGGATAGTGCTGCCCTACACTATCCTACCCTAAGAATGAGTTATATCCATACAAAATTGTTGCCACACTTTTTACTTCTATTTTCCCATTCAGCTTTTTTATCGGACTTTATTGATCAATTTGACAGGCTATGTATTTCTCAACCACTTGATTTACTTCTTCCTTGTTTACTGATAGGTAAATTTTACAAGCGAATCACAATGTTCTCTTCATGTCATAATGTCCTGTAGATCTATGAACATGCTTGATTTCTTTTGTAGATAGCAAAGTGCTAATAATCCCATTTGCTGCCATTTCAATGGGTTTATCAACCAATTTTTGAAAATTATCAGGCACTTGAGTAAGAGCATCTGTCAATTTAAACTCTGAGGCAACAACCTTGATATCAACTCTAAGTTGGTATTCTTCCACTATATTTGCAATAGTCTGAAGTCTTCTTTCTACCATCATTTTGTCTGAAGCTTTTGTCTTCAATCTAAATTTTTGAGTGAGTATATTGGTAACGTTTTCAAATAAGTGCAGTTATGCAAAATTTTTATTTTCCAGTTGAGGCCCATATTTTGTCCTTTGATTACTGCATCAAGTTTGGACATGTTTACGTTTTGTGTCATCTTTTCTTAACCAACAAGCGCTTTCAATTATATTTCCATCAACCACAACAATCATGCCTAATAGTATTCAACTAGCATCCACCCATATTGTTCACTACTAAAAACACTCTAAATTCCCTATGTAGGATTGTCATTACATGATCTTTTAACCATATCATTCAGCATTTTTTCAAGGTAGTTGCATTTTATTTTTTTAGCTCATAATTTTTTTTGTGATTGCTGTTCTTTCAACATACAACAAAGCTACACATAACTAACAACAAACTAGAAGATTCCCTTTCAATTTTCCACACAAAGAGTATATATTGTCTTGTTAGTGA